TCATTAGCACCTCTAGTAATATATTTACTGAGAAAAATGGTGACGTGTTCAATACTTATTTTACCCGCTGTAAATTTCATCAGCTGCGGTGTTAAACTTACATTTAAAAACAAATTCTTCAGTTCATGATAAATTTCTAAACTTCGCTGTTTAAGTTGGTGACAGTGCAATGAATCCTGGGATATCGTCAGCTGTGTAGGATACTCAGATGCAGCCTACGTTTTATTGGCCGCATGAGTAAAAGCCTACGACAGGGACAGCCTATGGCACGGTGCAGTGACATATACAGGCTACAAATGTGCAACTGATTTATACATTTACTGTAAATTACCTAATTTTTATAAATACTATCTTGTTCTTTGGGTTGCAGATGATCAAATGATTACATTACTTCAACACAGTTCACCTATTATACCTGGCAGGTTGGTAGGTCATACAGGCTGGAATTAAAGTTTAATTCAAGTTCAAATAAATGTAATTGTAATGTTTTGTTTAAATGCTTTTTTTAAGTGGTCAAATTATGGCAAAATGAAAGTGTGTAATTAAACAAATAAGTTTTACGTTTTCACTTAGGCATTAAAAACAGCAATATTTTAATTACAAGCGAATAAGAAAGTAACGCTTGTCCTTGGTTCGACAAAACTCAGGAACAAAGCGAGGTAGGGAACAGGAAGCACAGCATTTGGTTACTGGCTCCGGTGAAATCAGCACCCACTGGCTCTTTTCTATTATTTCTAGTTGACAAAGATGATAAATGAATCAGGGAGAAACTGGTGAGAACAGCTGTAGGTGCTTTGAAAAGCAATTTGTTTGTTCTGTTTTATGAAAAACTGACTTGATTGTTGCCTATTAGATGGAAACAACAATCAACTGTTGCACAAAGAGAAAAATAAGTATACTGCTGTGTCATCTTTGAACGAGATCGGATTGTGAACGTAATGAAACTGTTTGCCCGGCAGGAAGTGATCAGTATGTGAGGAGGCTGACACAACCTGTTCATCCATGTGGGTTTGACCTTCTCCTGACGTCTACAGTCTTTTTGTTGTTGTTACCTCCACCCCTCCGTCAGAACTCCACACAGTTGAGCAGTTTTATGTTTCTAACAGAATCTCCTGCAGACTCACTTCAAACTAAGTTGGTAAACTTGGGTTGACGGGTCTGATTCTGGATGGTTATCACCCTCTTGTTTAAAATCAGATGTCAGCTGTGTGTTTTCAGAGGAATGTTGTTAGCAGTATGCTGTCGTAGTCAGATACTTGTATTAGAGCTGGGTTGAGGATGGCCAAAAAAGCAGTAAAAATTGAAAACAAAATGGTATATAAAAAATATTAGGTTTGACTCATTCCAAGGAAAATATAAAGACCCTGAGGTTGGCCCAAAACTAATGCACGACACTGAAAAATTTATTTACGATATTTTCTGCAAAGTAGAAGAAGGCAAGTTGATTTTCTGGTTGGCTAAAAAAATGTTTATACAATTTATTAAACTCGTTGTTTTATTCTGAGAATGGAACTCAAACACACAACTTGTTTGTTTTATTTATGCTACCAGTAAACTAACAACCTCAACATGACTTTTTGTTTTCACATAAAGGCTGTTAAGCCAASCACACATTTGAACCTTTGACCTTGGGTCTGAGAAATGTGTGTAAAAGTGACTGAGAGGGTCTTTTATTTGGTGCCTAACGAGCCCCTCCTGTATCTCACTGGGCCATGGCCGCTGGCAACAAATTGGGAACGACATTCCAGAGGGAGTTCCCAGAAATGTCTCAAAACATTTGTGAAGGCCTCACTTTGAAGCTTGTATTTTAGACTTGTTTGGAAAAATTACTGCAACAAATTTGCTTTCACAATAGTCACAGAGCCGTCGCGGGCGTCTTGCACACAACTCCAAGTCTTTGATTTAGTTTCTGTGAGTCAGAAAGGACGAGAATTGCAAAGCAAATTTGGGAGAATAATGAAACTAAATCGTAATTCATTGGAAACCAAAAACACAAAAAGAATTAATTTTGAGTTTAAAGAGACATATCCTTCTGTTTCACATTCATTTCACATCATTCAGTAAGGGTCTATATAAAGTGGAACTGCAATGCTTTGGTCTGAATTCCTCTATGTTGTAACTTCACAAGCATCTCTAAAGGGCTTGACACACGGGAGGCGACGTTGCTCACTCTCCATTCATTTCYTATGGAACTTGTGCGATGAGGCGACAATCGCTCACCCTCCTCCAGCCAAGCGACCAGCAAAAATCATGCATGTGAAATTTTGCGCTCGTACACGTAGACGTGCACACGCGAGCTTGCGATGCGACATATGAAAGTTGAAAAACGTTCAATTTTTGTCTCATGGCGTTACAACCAATCACTGAGGGTTTCTTTGACTGACCAATGAGCGGAGAGTATGCTACACACTGTAGTTAGCTAACACTTTCAATGTTATTTTAGCTCTGTCAAACTTTATAGTTTTATATGACCCTTCACCAAGGGATTACTAATAAAGGCAAATTTATGGGAATTTGTTGGTTCCAGGGTGAAGTTATCCAATAAATTTTTCCTCATAAAATCGTATCTTGGTGTGCGTTTGTTGTTCAATATCATTAGCATTGCAAGACTTGTTTAGTTTACACGTCCGTAATGCACACCCCCTTTTTTTTGAACCACCAATAACCTTTACAAGAGGCATTAGAAGAACCAGTCAAATTTCATGAAGACAAGCGACCTGAGAGCGYGATTCGCAAYGCTGCCATCGCTATCTCGTCCCGTGTGTCGGGTTTCACCCTGGTTGCGATGACAGCCATTAATCGCTGTCGTTTGTCACTCCCCGTGTGTCGAGCCCTTTATACCCTCTTTTCTGAGGTGTGTCTCAGATCAACTCATTTTGAGACTGTCTCTTTAAACCCGCCCCCTCTAGCTTTTCAACTGGTTCATTCTAGTTTGATAGAGGGGTTTACGATAATCTAGCAGCGCAAAAACTTTTTCTTCCTTTTTTATTATTAATTAAAAGATGTCGACAGAAGTCTGACCCAGAGCGAGAAGAGAATGAAGACAACGAATTTGTAGTTGGTAAGTCCAGACCTTATTTATCAGTGAAGTTGCAAATACTGTGATGTAATAGTTCAGAAAATGTTATAGTAAGTAAAGAAAACTGATCATAAATATATAAAAGAATATATATCTATGCAGTTATAGGAGAGACTAAATTTAAATTTTCTGCACTCCTACAGACTCTGTACACAACGAAATGTATTTCACAGCAGAATTGTTGATTTTGCATGATACGTCCTTTTAAAGAGTCTTAAAGAGTAATTAAGTTGAAACAAATGAGTTTGCATGCACTGTTATTCATATATTTTCGTAAATGTGTCATAACGTGTGTTTCCATGTAAAAATTAATGCATTTTTCTCAATTTTGTGTCTTTTATTCACYAACAGTCACAGCCCGGTGAGATGCAGGCTTCAGCTCTGTGCAACATACCATCACACTGTTGCAGCCCCAGAACGAATCATTTGGACCCAGGTGACTGTCCCTGCGTGGGTTCATTCATTTTGCAGGGTTGTAATCAGTATCATTGTCCAGGAGCAGTGGCGCTTGACCCCCTCTGAACCACCGCAGCCCCACTGCAATAATGGGAAGGCTAAACTCCAATGAGCAGTGGATTATCAAGTCACCGGGCGTCGTGTCAGAGAGGAACGAACAATCGACCGATTTAACTAACACCTGCTTTTCATGTCGGCCGTGGGCTTCTGGGTGAACAGATGTTTCCGACCAGCCACAAAGCAGAGGAATGTACGAAATCGTGTCAWATATTTGTGGACGGCAGTCATTTACACCCAGAGTTAAGCTCCAGATGAGATGAAGTAGTTTGTGACGACACCAGAGGCAGATGGATTTTTCCAATTAGGAGGAGGAAATGAGCCTTGCCGACACTCTGCAGAAAGTGTTTCAGCAGTCTCCTCCTCCTCCACGGTTAGGCCTACGGTTAGGATCAATAGGCCTACGTTGCACTCTGGTCTCCACCCCACCTTACTGGCTGCGTGGAACTCTGAGAGGAAACGAGTGGGGGGAGGAGTGAGAGACAGACTGACAAGGGAGGAGGGAACGATGAAGGAAAGGAGAAAGACGCCCTGCATATTTAATGATTTTTCCCTTTTGCTATGCCTGAGGAAACTCTAGACCAGACCATATTCAGTCACTAAATTTCATGATTTTATCTTAACTTCAGTAAGTTCACTAACTTTACAAATCCAGAAAAGCACTATTGATTTATTTAATAGTATCTGTAATGCTGATTCAGCATTCACACTATCATTACCTTGTTTTGTATTCTTTGCCGTCAAACTACTTCAAGCGCCTAACAATTTCACAACCATCAGTTTCAAAGAAAACGAGTGATGTTGTCTTAAACACGAATGACAGGACTGAAAAGATATGGTTTCACTCAAAATCTGTCATGTAAATGGGGCTTTATTTTATCCATTAATATATTAAAAAACTTACAGATTATTCAAGGAATGACTGCCATCACCTCTGCTTTTATACTTTTCAGAATGTTTTCTCAGTAGAAATAAAACATCTCAATTCCTTCAAAATTATTCACTTTAAAATCCACCTCAGCATACATTCTCTGTCTTTTCATGTTACCTTTTAAGCCTTTGTTTGGCTGCTTTCAGCTACCCTTTTGCTACTTTTAACATTTACTATTCTGCTAATTTTAGCTTGTCTTTTGATATTTTGATTAAGTCTTTTGGGACTTTTAGCTTTTTGTTACCATTATGCAACTTTTAGCTAGTCTTTTGATACTTTAAACTAATTGATTGCTTATTTAGCCTTTTTTACTTGTAGCATTTTCTACCTGTTTGCCTCTTAGATTTTAGCTAGCCTTTTGCAATGTTTACCTTTAAGCTACTATTATGCTACTTTTAGCTTGTGTTTTGATACTTTAAACTAACTGTTTGCTTCTTTAGCCTTTAGCTAGCCTTTTGCAACATTTGTTGATGATTTTTACGTGTCAACTTTCTAGAGATCTAGTAGAGTGCTGAATAAATGTGTGTGGATGGGTAAATGGGTGCTTTGAGTATCCTGGTTGGATAGAAAGGCACTATATAAGTACAGTCCATTTACCATTTATTTTTAACTCTCAATATTGTTTCTCTTTACCAACTCAGTTTCAGCTTCTTTAGCAAAGTCACCCATGAMTCAGCATTTTTGCAGAATCTGAGATTTCTTGTTATTCTAGCCTGGACTATGTTGGTGAAGATTCGCCTGCTGACAGRATCACATTCATTCAGTGGAAACAGTGCAGTCTATCACGCGTCTTACCTGTGGGTCTCATGTAATACGCCTCTATGTCGGCCATGTCCGTGTGCAGAGCACAGTCCAGATAACTCTGGATAACTTTCCTGCTGTAGTAGTAGCGTGCACCCATGAGAATGAGTGGCGCGCAGCATGTCAGCGTGACAGATTTGGTCACGAAAAAGCACATTACTATGGAGAAATGGAAGAAAAGTAAACGAAACCTGTCAGAAGAGAGAATCACATGTTTGATTTTTGGCAGAAGAACAGGCACAAACAACAAGACATGAATCTTCACAGGCATCACTGATGACAAGGAGATAAAAAAAATTGAAGATGCAATCAGCTCAGCTGTCACTGTGATTGAAAAATGTTTTGAAAAAGGTCACAAATATTAACACTCCTGCTTATTAGTTATCAAACACTAGATTTTAACCTGAGCTGCAGATATTCAAGAGCCATTGGAGCATACCTGGTGATGGGTACTAGTTCTTGAACTATATTAACTTTGTTGGGCTTTGCTAAATGGTTACGGTATTGTTAGAACACATCTCCTTTATTTGTTTTTGCCATCGGAAATCTATTATTTGAATGCTAATGGTCTGATTCCTGCATTGTCTCATGAGTCGGTACAAGCCACCAAAATGTCTTGACACATGATTTTTATCCAACAGCAAAACACGCTCGTAAAATTTGAAACCTTTGGCTCAAAAATGCAGATGTTTGGTGCAAAAGAGCTCCTGCCTCAGATAAAGGCTCCTCAGTGATTAATAACTTTGAATGTTGAGTCACTGCAGCCACAGCAAAAACTGTACAAACAACTGTTTCAGACACCCAGACCAGCAGAGGACCCCACAAGAGCACATAACTATCCACTAAACACTGATGCTAGTGATCAYATAAAGCAGAGATGTCTAGTAATGAAGTACAAATACTTTGTTACGTTACTTTACTGGAGCAACTTTTTAGCCAACGTTTTACTTCTACTCCTTACATTTTTATTTCCCTTTGGCTTGTTTTCATTTCAGCTTGTTATTGCTCAGATATATGCTCAGATAAAACTGTCCAGAAATGTCTCTTAGATAGAATGAGTTTAATTRTGGTTGGATGAGAAGTATAAATATAATGTGTACAAATATGTGGTTTGAGCATGTAATTATAGATCCCTGGAGCTTTATCCTTAATGGCTTCTTTTCCCATTAACTTTTACTTATGTACTGTTTTAAAACCTTACTCTAATAAAAATCTTGAGTTGATACTTAAGAAGTATATTTAAATCTTATACTTCTACTTAAGTAATGAATGTGAATACTTTTGACACCTCTGTATACAAGAAGTTGATATTTACGTCAACAGAACAGTAATTTAACATTGTATTTATTTCTGTTGCTCAAAACGTAATTGATAATTTTCAGTGGTTACCTAAACAGAAAAACTAGCCCTTCCTCCTGACTTTATTGAGTCTTTTCCACAGTTTGGCAGTAGGAAGCAGTGATTGTCTAAACTGAAAGGGGGCCCTAAAATTTAATTTTCCTGAGGCTGGGCCTGAGTCTTAGAGAAATGTGGTATAATATAAAAAACTTGGCTCCAATGACTTTTAAGTACCTGCAATAATGTGGTCAAAAAGTGAGATGACATTAAAGGAGCACTAATATTTACTGCCTTTCTTATTCRGTGACAACCAACCTGAACACATCTCCAGGTTTCTCTCCTTATTGTGAGATTTGTAGGTTTCATTAAAGTCGGAAACATAAGTTTTGATTGAGACAAGCCGGAGTTACTCTTCACACAAGCCGACACTTGGTAAACTGTGAAATAAACCACAAATATTAACAGGGGGAAACTTTTTTTGTTGTTTTTATAAGAGGGATGTTATTAGTCAGGTGCGACGCTAGGGAGCGCAAACTGAAACAAGCAGGATGGATGATGCCTTTCATGCAAGTTTCTCCTCAGCACAGAAAAGATGACTTTTTATCCTGGCGAAGCACATTCTAAAGCTCTAAAAATGCATGGTTTTATTATTGAAAAAAAAGGCAAATATCAAATTAAAAAACAGAAATTTGGTATCTTCAAAAAGCCAGTGGACAAAGGGCAGCGTCAGCACAAAGTGCGCACCGCATGGGAGTTCATTTTTGTTCTTTCTTGGGTGTGTGGGCGCACCCTGTGGGCCAGTCTCCAAACTGATTCACTCCTTTCTAACCACCCGGCCGGCATAGCATCACCAGCATGCAGCACGCGCCCCGCCATGCCTTTTGTTGCGCGTGCCGGCTGCGTAAAAAGCTGCAACAGCTTTCAACTGAGTGAAATTCAGGACAGCATGTAACGAAACGATTACCTGATGCAAGCTTTATTTGTGTGGGGGAGTGAAACTATTAATAATAATGATTTTAAAAAGTGTCCTGTTTTTGGTGATTCGTGCGACTTACCTGTGAGAAAAGCGTATAAAAACTGGGTCCTGGGCTGTTGCCAGATCCCCCTGAACGCAGTGTTGGGTATCCGCTCCATTATTCCCTCGTGAAAGATGCGCAGCGCCTCCCGCTCGTCGGCGCGCTCAAACTCGCGGATGAAAACCGCATCCTTCGCCGCCAGCTCGGCGGGGTTTAAAGCCGCGCCGGCGGCGGGCGGAGAGCTCCACATCATCTGCTCTCGCTTGGTCCCGGCGGCCGGTATAGCCTCGTGTTCGTCCGCAACGATCTTAGTCTCGCAAACCATTTTGGGAGACGAACAATGCATGCAACTAGTTCAGAGTGATGGCCCGGGTGAGGGGTGGTGGTGAGCGGGGGCGGAKGGGAGAGCGGAGGAGAGAGGAGAAGAAAGAAAACTGGACGGGTTAGTAAAGATAAGACTGGTTCCCTTTAAAAAAAAAACAGCGAGATGATGGTGAAGGATGGTGATGATGAGGATGGTGGTGGTGGTGGAGATAAGACGAGAAGGGGAGGGGGAGGGTGTTCTGCTGCAACCCTGAGAGTTTTTGAGGACCGAGACTTGCCGGTGCTGTTCAGGCTGTATTTATAGGCGAGCAGGGCGGGTACTGAGGAGGGGGGGTTGGGGAGGCCCACCCGCCGCTCACACTGGTCTGAGCTGCTCGCGCGCGCGCGTGTGTGTGTGTGTGTGCATGTGCGTGCTTGTTTTTATCACAGAGTGAGGACCATTTGCGCCATACTTGCTATCAAAGTGAGGACCGGTTCCATGTCCTCACTTTGCAGCTCTACTGGAGATACGGTGTGAATCAAGTTTTGGTTCAGGGTAGGGTTAACTGTAGACCAGTTATGGGTAATTTTAGGGAACATGTCTGGTTTAGGCATAAATACAGTTACAAAAATGAATGGAAGTCAATACAAAGTCCTCAGTTTGATTGGGGGGGGGG